CTGCCATGGGCAGGGACACCCTCCACTACACCAGGTTGCTCAGAGCCTCATCCAACCTGGCCTTGAACACTTCCAGGGATGGGGCAGCCACAACGTTTCTGGGCAACCTGTTCCAGTTCCTCATCCTCCTTCTAGCCCTCTCGGAGCTAAACTCCCATGTGGGGTTAGGTATGTGGTTTTGGGAATACTGCCTAAGGGCTTGGGAAGGGTCTGCTCAGTGTGATGGAGTAAACTCCCAGCTGGAGGAGCTGCAGGGTGAGGCCCTGGGAGTCTGAGTGGGCTCAGCTGGTGGGAGGATGCTGCCAGTCTGGCACAGCCACAGCAGCACCTCATCCCCGGCTGTTGCCCTGGACACAGCTCCTTCCATCTGCAGAACCAGCCAAGGTAACCTGGTCCGGGGAGCGTCTTCCCTGCCAGCGGCTATCCCTTTTCCTTCCCCTGTGGGGTAGCCTCTGCCTTGGGCTGCTCACCAAAGGGTGCCCAGGTGCAGGGAAAACATCTGCCTCTGATGATTCATCTGTTTTCCTCCCTAAAAACATCCTGGCCTTCATGGCCAGGACAGGTCATTTCCTGGAGTGGGCTGCCTAGATGCTGGGGCTAACGAGAAAAGAGTGTAGAGACCTACAGAAAAAAGGGGGATGTTCAGTTTTACCAAAACAGAGACTAACAGTTCAGCTTGTTTTTATTTAACAATGAAGGAGGTTTTCGTCTGTATATATTGGTAGTTCACTGTGCTATAAGGTAGCTAGTTTAGATATGGGCTGTGTGTTGGTAGTAAAAAAAAAAAAAAGAAAAAAAAATAGAGATGCTTGGAAAAAAGCATATGTGGGCTCTGGATATTTTAAAAAGCTGCTGCATTCCCAAGGCTCTGCTGGTCTCCCTCGGAAGCTGCGTTAGAGGGCAGTAGAAAACTGCTTTGTGCTACTTGTCTCTGTTTTTTCGTTGCCAACTTCTGCCTTTTCTTCCTCCTTCTCCTCCAGTTACCACCGTCTCCCTGGTTGAGAGTAGCCGGATAGCCACAGGTGCCGTGCTCCTCCTGGTCAGCCGAGCCCTCTTCATCCTCATCAGCATTTATTATTATTACCAAGTTGGACGCCGTCCCAAGAAAGTCTAATTCCTGGGCTTTTTGTCATGGGAAGGGTGGGAGGGGGGAATTTGTGTCGGTAATTTTGCATTATAATTATAACTCTTTTTTTTTTTTTTTTTTTTTTT